GGGGAGGGCCGTTGGGTGCATGACCCCCCCCAGAGGACCCAGGCCAGGGCCCTGAGCAGTTCGGCGAGGCTGCACGTGGGCCTCCATTCACCATGAACCGGTACCTCCCGGTGGCCCGGCAGCACTTCCTGGCCGTGCTGGCCAGCACCAGCGTGGTGGTGAAGTCCATCTGTGCCACCGTGGTCCTCCTCTACCTGCTCTCCTTTGCGGTGGACACGGTGTTCGGGCTCGGCGTGACTCCGGGTTACCTCTTTCCCCCCAACTTCTGGATCTGGACGTTGGCCACGCACGGCGTGGCGGAGAAGCACGTCTGGGACGTTGGCGTGAGCTTGGCCACGGTGGTGCTGGCTGGCAGGCTGCTGGAGCCCCTATGGGGAGCGCTGGAGCTCCTGATCTTCTTTGCAGTGGTGAATATCTCGGTTGGGCTTCTGGGAGCCTTTGCCTACTTTCTCACCTATGCAGGGTCATTCAATCTCGTGTACCTGTTTAACATTCGCATCCACGGCATACTGGGCTTCCTTGGCGGGGTCTTGGTGGCCCTCAAGCAGACCATGGGTGACAGCACTGTCCTGAAGGTGCCCCAGGTGCGGATGAAAGTGGTCCCTATGCTCTTACTCCTTCTCCTGGCTGTTCTGAGGCTGACCACTCTAATAGAAAGCAACCGATTGGCATCTTACGGCTTTGGAGTCCTCTCCAGCTGGATCTATCTCCGTTTCTACCAGCGGCACAGTCGGGGGCGTGGCGACATGTCAGACCACTTTGCCTTTGCCACGTTCTTCCCCGAGATCCTGCAGCCTGTGATTGGTTTGGTGGCCAACTTGGTGCACAGCATCTTGGTGAAAGTAAAAGTTTGTCGGAAAACAGTGAAACGTTACGATGTGGGCGCTCCTTCGTCCATCACCATCAGCCTGCCTGGAACAGACCCGCAGGACGCTGAGAGGAGAAGGTATTGTATGTTCCCTTCCCATTTATTATGTGGTTAGCGATCACGAGTTCATGCAACGTGTGCCCCATGCTAGATCCTCGCTAAAGATGAACTGAGATGAGTTTTAATAAGCCGACAAAACTGCTTAGTTCTGGATGACAGGGCCTGGATTTCAATGTTATACGGATTTTTTTAAAGGAATATTTGAAAATCTGCCCCTCCTTCCTTGCCTTTCTCAGTCTGAGGTCAGGGCTCTATGTTAACCCCTTGCATGTGACATCAGGGGAGCCATCAGCTGTTGTGTGTGTGCTAAGGTCCTCACCCACGTAGCTGGCTGAGGCTGGGCGCGGGAGTTGTGAATTTCCTACTGTCCCACCAAAACAGAGTTGTGAATTTCTAGTGCAGAGAAGAATTAAACTACCCACGGAAACGGACGTTGTGTGCACCAAACTAGCATGTTCCATCAACAGTGGAGCCCACGGCAGAGGTGGGAGCCATCTTTCCCAGTTAAGAATTCAAGGGAAGCTGTTGAGCCTTCACTTTTAAAAATATAGATATGAACTTTGTTCCTAACACATGGCTTAGATCCTTGCCACTTCAATCCTCTAGTCCCTGTGCACATGCTTAACGTGTAAGTGCAAGAGTGTTCCTCTTGAAATTGGTGGGATGAACATTCATGAGTTCCAGCAGGACTGGGGCCTTAATTTGCTCTTTGTCAGTCACACTGCCTGGTCATGCTTCCTCCCTTGTCCCGGTATAGGGAAGCAAACGAGCTGAGTCAGTTTCATGGTGTTTCCTGTCACTTTCACTTCCTGGGTCTGTGGAATCCAGCCAGCTGGTTGCGTTTGAACTCGGGGAGGCAAAATATTTTAAAAAGAAGGCACCGTCGTCCATGGATGTTTTATTCAGAGTCAGGCTTTGCGCACGTTCCGGTTAACTTCCCAGTTGAGTTCCCCCTGGGCCGTCTGATCATGGGTTTTGAAAGCAAGGAGGCAAGAACCCTTCATACTTACTGCATTGAGTGTAAACATTTCCCTGGGTTCCGGTTAGTCCTGTTTGGGGCAGTTAGGGCTTGGAGTGATGGAAACTGATTCAAGCTTCTGCTGGAGCCAGCCAGGGGCAGTAACCAGAGCAGCTGTTGGGGGGTAATTTCCACAGGCTGTGAGATCAGGGAAGATTTGCTGAAGCCTGAGGTTGGAGCATTCAAAATGGAATGGAGCCAAGCATTTGCTGAAATGAGCTGCCAGCTCATCGGGGTCTTGTTAATGACAACTCGGGTGTAATGGGCGAGGGAGCTATACAAGGGCTGCGTTTCTGGGCCCTGCTGCTGACCTCAGCTGAGAGCCTTTGGCGCTCTGCCGGGTCAGGCCCTCTGGGTCGCTGCCTCGGGCGCTTTTCAACTGGGCGGCCCAGCTGAATGAGGCTTCAGAGTGAAAATGCTTCTGTCTGGAGTCGCTGTGTCACCCCCTGCACCTGCCCGCCCAACTGCACGGTTTCTGGTTTGCAGGGATTGGTGGCACATGCTCTTCTGTCCCTCCCGTGGGATTTCCATCGACGATTCGATTAGTTAAGAGCGCCTCCCTCTTGGAAAGGTGGCAAGGGCCCTGCTGTGGAAGCCCCCCAGAGCGCCTGAGCCTTTGAGATGTACAAGAGCCCTGACATTGCAAAAGGAAGCCCCGCGCTCCCTGCGTCTGCTTTTGAAATGTACAAGAGCCCCACTCAGTACGTTTCAAAAGCAGAATCGCAACCGAGCCAGCGCCAGCGGAGGCTGCTTCAGTCCCTGCTTGCGCTGCTTCCTGCCGCGCCTCTACCTCCCCTGCACCCCGCGGAGACAGTGCTGGGGGGGAACTGGCCTTTAAGCCGGCTCCACCAGCTCCTGCTCCCCCACCTTACTGCCTCTCTCTGACAGAGGCAGCAAGGTGGGGGGGCAACTAGTTGCATCACTAGTCAGCTATCCGATAAGCTTCTGGTTATTGGACAGTCAGCTAGTTGCTGACATGACTATTCCTAGGTAGCCCCACTCGGGAGGGGGTGTCCCAGGCCGGGAAGAGGGCTGCTGGGAGCACTGGTGTGGAGGATGCTGCTGTGGGGCGGGGGGGAAGCTGAAATGGAGAAGGTGGCTAGTGGAAAGTGGTGAACGAGAGCACGGCCTGCGCTGCCAGCTCTGCGGATTGCTGCGTGGCCTCTGCCGTGACCCCCTTGCGTTCCGTTTCCGTGCCAGGTGTCCAGTGCAACTCGGCCACTGTGTTTTTGGGGGGGCTGATGCTCAGTTGCTTTTGGGTTTGGAGGACAGAAGTGGGGGGCCCTGCTAGGAGGCCTGGAGGGGAAGAGGAGGATTTGGCTCCAGTACGGTGGTAGAGCATCTAATAAAAGCCCTTTGTCTGTGTGTGCTGATGCCCTAGATCAGGGGTGGGCAATAATTGTTGACGGGGGGGCCACTCCAAGAATTTGGAAAGTGGGCGAGGGCTGCACTTTTCCATGCTGTTAATGGAGGAGGTGCAGGGTGTGGGATGGAGGTTGGGTGCAGAAGGGAGATTGGGGGGAGGGAGTGTGGGTGAAGGAGGCGGTTGTGACCCAGGGCAGGGGACTGGAGTGCAGGAGTTTGGGATGTGACCTAGGCAGGAGGAGTTTGTGATCTGGGGAAGGAGGTTGGGGTGCCAGATCTGGGAGGAGATGTGGGTGTAAGAGGGGGACAGGGTTTGGATGTGTTGAGTGTGGAGGGGGGGCAGAGGGCTGGGGCAGGAAAGGGCTGGGGTGCCAGAAGCAGGCTGTGGCCAAGAGACTTACTTGCCAGCCGCCAAACTTGCCTGCCTGCCAGGCCATGTGCTTCATGAATAACTTATAAGTAGTCATGGGATAAGAGAGAAGGTCCTTTTGTGGATTGAGAACTGGTTAAAAGACAGGAGACAAAGGGTAGGAATAAATGGTCGGTTTTCCGAGTGGAGAGAGGTAACCAGTGGGGTCCCCCAGTCTGTCCTGGGAGCCATCCTAGTCAGCTGATTTTATAAATGATCTGGAGAAAAGGGATAAACAGGGAGGTGGCAAAACTTGCCGATACCAAACTGCTCAAGGTAGTTAAGACCAAAGCAGACTGTGAAGAGCTTCACAAAGATCTCCCCAACCTAAGCGATTGGGCAACAAAATGGCAAATGAAATTGAATGTTGAGCACGGTAAAGTACTGCACATTGGAAAAAGAATCCCAACTATCCGTACAATATGTTGGGGACTAATGTGGCTACAACTACTCAAGAGAGATCTTGGAGTCAGTGTGGAGAGTTCTCAGAAACCATCCACTCCGTGTGCAGTGGCAGTGAAAAAAGCAAATGGAATGTTTGGAGTCATTTAAAAAGGGCCAGAGACTAGCTTGTTGCCTCCATATAAAACCATGGGATGCCCCCATCTTGAATACTGCGTAGAGATGTGGTCGCCTCATCTCAAAAAAGATCTCTTGGCATTGGCAAAAGTTCAGAAAAGGGCAACAAAAATGATGAGGGGTTTGGAACGGGTCCCATATGAAGAGCGATTAAAAAGACGGGGACTTTTCAGCTTAGCAAAGAGATGGCTAAGGGAAGGATATGACAGAGGGCTACAAAATCATGACAGGTGTGGGAAAAAGTGAATAAGGAAAAGTTATTGACTTATTCCCACAATGTAAGAACATGGGGTCACCAAATGAAATGAATGGGCAGCAGGTTTCAAGCAAACCAAAGGAAGTTTTTCTTCACTCAGCGCACAATGAACCTGTGGAACTCCTTGCTGGAGGATGTTGTGAAACTAGGACTTCAACAGGGTTCAAAAAAGAGCTAGATAGATTCATGGAGGTTGGGTCCATCAGTGGCTCTTAGCCAGCATGGGTAGGAATGGTGTCCCTAGCCTCTGTTTGTCTGGAGGTGGGTGACGGGGGGAGGGATCACGTGAGGTTTATCTGTTGAGGTTTACCTTGCTCTGGTGGGGCATCTGGCACTGGCCACTGTGGGCAGACAGGACACTGGGCTGGATGGACCTTTGGTCTGAACCTGCCTGGTTGGTCTTATGACTCAGGAGAAGGGGCGTGATTCTTTTTAGCTGCCTGTTAGTTCAACAAACAGCTCCCATTGGGTGGTTTCTGCCAGAACTGGCCAATGGGAATGTGTTGGAGGCGGGATGGCTCCTAAATTCCCCCTGCCCCCCGCCCCCGTTAGCCTCTCCTGTTACTAGTGCCTGCTGCTCCCTGGGGTGCTTTGAGCAGTGGCGGGGGCTGTCTTGGGTGCTCCACTCTGTGTCCTCTCCTGGGTCCCCGTTTCCAGCCATCAGCCTCACACCCGGTCCTGTGTTCTCCTGGGAGCTTGACCCCGGCAATCCGCTGTCGCCTGGAGTTAGTGCTACCTCCCCTGGAATTGAGGGGCGGCCTTTAGCGGGTCTGTGGTCTGCCTCAGAAGCAGGACAGCCTCTTCCCACACAGGCAGCTCTGGGACAGCAGGCAATACCAGCGGCCAGGGTTGCTGTGCGAACTCTGCCTCCAGCTGGCCCCGTTTCCAAGTGCTTTTGGGGATTGCACCGGGGAGTGCACCGGGATCCGGAACAGGCCCTGGTCCCTCCCTGTCCCACGAGCTGGTGTGGAGCTGGGCCTTTCAATCCGAGGCCCGCTGTAAGCCACGTTGGCGCTGCTGAAAGCAGCCCGCAGAGAGCCATGGAAATGGGGCTCCGACGAGCAGCAGCCGTGCAAATTCCCTGCCCCGCTTCCCTCGTCCAGGTGCGCTGCCCTGCCTTAGGGGGACTTGCCTCTAGGGCTGTGACACTTGTATCCTCCCTCTCCCGGGTCAGCCGGGAGCTCCTTTGGCAGGCTCTTGGGCTGTGGCTGGGGGGGTCCCCCAGTCTGTCCTGGGAGCCATCCTAGTCAGCTGATTTTATAAATGATCTGGAGAAAAGGGATAAACAGGGAGGTGGCAAAACTTGCCGATACCAAACTGCTCAAGGTAGTTAAGACCAAAGCAGACTGTGAAGAGCTTCACAAAGATCTCCCCAACCTAAGCGATTGGGCAACAAAATGGCAAATGAAATTGAATGTTGAGCACGGTAAAGTACTGCACATTGGAAAAAGAATCCCAACTATCCGTACAATATGTTGGGGACTAATGTGGCTACAACTACTCAAGAGAGATCTTGGAGTCAGTGTGGAGAGTTCTCAGAAACCATCCACTCCGTGTGCAGTGGCAGTGAAAAAAGCAAATGGAATGTTTGGAGTCATTTAAAAAGGGCCAGAGACTAGCTTGTTGCCTCCATATAAAACCATGGGATGCCCCCATCTTGAATACTGCGTAGAGATGTGGTCGCCTCATCTCAAAAAAGATCTCTTGGCATTGGCAAAAGTTCAGAAAAGGGCAACAAAAATGATGAGGGGTTTGGAACGGGTCCCATATGAAGAGCGATTAAAAAGACGGGGACTTTTCAGCTTAGCAAAGAGATGGCTAAGGGAAGGATATGACAGAGGGCTACAAAATCATGACAGGTGTGGGAAAAAGTGAATAAGGAAAAGTTATTGACTTATTCCCACAATGTAAGAACATGGGGTCACCAAATGAAATGAATGGGCAGCAGGTTTCAAGCAAACCAAAGGAAGTTTTTCTTCACTCAGCGCACAATGAACCTGTGGAACTCCTTGCTGGAGGATGTTGTGAAACTAGGACTTCAACAGGGTTCAAAAAAGAGCTAGATAGATTCATGGAGGTTGGGTCCATCAGTGGCTCTTAGCCAGCATGGGTAGGAATGGTGTCCCTAGCCTCTGTTTGTCTGGAGGTGGGTGACGGGGGGAGGGATCACGTGAGGTTTATCTGTTGAGGTTTACCTTGCTCTGGTGGGGCATCTGGCACTGGCCACTGTGGGCAGACAGGACACTGGGCTGGATGGACCTTTGGTCTGAACCTGCCTGGTTGGTCTTATGACTCAGGAGAAGGGGCGTGATTCTTTTTAGCTGCCTGTTAGTTCAACAAACAGCTCCCATTGGGTGGTTTCTGCCAGAACTGGCCAATGGGAATGTGTTGGAGGCGGGATGGCTCCTAAATTCCCCCTGCCCCCCGCCCCCGTTAGCCTCTCCTGTTACTAGTGCCTGCTGCTCCCTGGGGTGCTTTGAGCAGTGGCGGGTGCTGTCTTGGGTGCTCCACTCTGTGTCCTCTCCTGGGTCCCCGTTTCCAGCCATCAGCCTCACACCCGGTCCTGTGTTCTCCTGGGAGCTTGACCCCGGCAATCCGCTGTCGCCTGGAGTTAGTGCTACCTCCCCTGGAATTGAGGGGCGGCCTTTAGCGGGTCTGTGGTCTGCCTCAGAAGCAGGACAGCCTCTTCCCACACAGGCAGCTCTGGGACAGCAGGCAATACCAGCGGCCAGGGTTGCTGTGCGAACTCTGCCTCCAGCTGGCCCCGTTTCCAAGTGCTTTTGGGGATTGCACCGGGGAGTGCACCGGGATCCGGAACAGGCCCTGGTCCCTCCCTGTCCCACGAGCTGGTGTGGAGCTGGGCCTTTCAATCCGAGGCCCGCTGTAAGCCACGTTGGCGCTGCTGAAAGCAGCCCGCAGAGAGCCATGGAAATGGGGCTCCGACGAGCAGCAGCCGTGCAAATTCCCTGCCCCGCTTCCCTCGTCCAGGTGCGCTGCCCTGCCTTAGGGGGACTTGCCTCTAGGGCTGTGACACTTGTATCCTCCCTCTCCCGGGTCAGCCGGGAGCTCCTTTGGCAGGCTCTTGGGCTGTGGCTGGGGGGGCCCCGAGCCAGAATGTGCCTCGTTCCTCTGGCTGCATCTTGCACCGCGCCGCCCGAGTTCCCGGCAGCCCGATTTCCCGCCCCCAAGGGGCGCCCCTGCAGACTGACGAGGCCAAAGGAGCCAATGGCCGGGGCAGAAGCGAGGCGGGGGGCTTGCGCTGTGACCCAGCGCCCCCTTTGGAAACCCAGGCCCCGGTTTTGCGGTGGAAGAGATTGGGGATGCGAAAGTGTAACCGTGCGCCCCGGGGCTTGTTGGTTAACGTTCCCGGTTACACGCAGGCTCCCGGTACGTGTGGGGAGCCGGCTTCCAGCACCCCCCCCCACAGACACACCCCCTGTGCGACAGAGACAGCAGCGCGGGGGCAGGCAGGAGCCGGTATGCATAGGGAGCCGACTGCCCCCCGTGGGTAAGTGCTGCAAATATCCCCAGGTATCCGAAAGGCATTTTACCATCCCTAGAATAGACGGGGCACCTGTCTGGCTGGCTGCCTCTAACCCTCTCTGGCCCGGCTGCTGCAGTGAGGGTTGAATTGCCTCTGACTCTGGGGTGGGAAGGGACGGCTCTTTAACCCGCCTTTCCCTGGCTCCTTGCTCCTGCCTTTCCCTCTCTTGCTGCTCTGCGCCTTCTCCCCCAGCTCTCCCTGCTTTGGTGGCTGGTGCTGGGATTGTTGCTGTTTATGCCGGGTCTGACACCACGGATTGAATTCAATCCCTAGGCCAGATGCTATTTCTCCAGTTTGCTTTCAGTGGGACTAAACGATAGGCAGGCCAGGCCTCCCCCCGGGCGGCAGCGGCGCTTGCGCTCGGTGGGCTGGGCCCGGGGCGCGTGGGCCCACCGCACGCAGCGCCAGCGGAGGCAGGGTTAGCAGTGAACAAACAAGTGACATGGCCAGTTACTGACCTCGGCCACAGACCGGGTGGCGTTCACCTGTTTCCAGTCTTAATCCAGATAAGACTTCCCATCCCCAAGGCCCTTTCTCCGCCCCGCTTGCTGACTGGCAGGTTTTGTACCTGGGGCGCGACTAGACTTTAACCCCAGTGTGGGGGTGGGAAAGGCTGGGCTGGCGCATTGGTTTTCGTTGTACTAACCGCAGCCACCCCTCCGGCTCCGAGCCTGCCGTTTTAGACCCTTATCGCCTCCCTTCGCCATTCGCTTTAGCCTCCTCTCTCCTTATTTCAAGGCCTTGCTTTTGCTCAGTCATCAGAGCCTCTCCTTGCAGCCCAGAAGTATTTCATGCGTCATATTTAAAGGAACTCTTCTCCTGTGATGTTATACGGACCCTATCGTGGCTTCTCCTCGACTGCCTTTCCTCCCCCCACCCCCCCTCAGAGCCCCTTTCTCCCCGCTGGGGGGCTGTTAGGCTTGAGTGCCGCTTGACACGGTATTTCCGCAAGGAGGGCGCTTGGGGTCCAAAGAACAAGAGACCCCACTTTTCCACTGGCCTGTGAGCGCTGCATCCTCTGACCCGTCAGTCTGCTGCACCTCGCTTCTCTCCCGCTCTCCCTTCCACTTCAGTCGCTTGCCTCCCGCTGCCCCGTGAGGCCTGGGTCCCTCCTTCCCCAGAGGTTCCCAAGTGGCACCAGGAGTGAAACTGATAAGCATGGTGTCAGTTTCACTCTGCAGCTGCCCTTCCTGCCAGCATAGAATTATAGAATCATAGGACTGGAAGGGACCTCGAGAGGTCATCGAGTCCAGCCCCCCCGCCCTCAAGGCAGGACCAAGCTCCGTCTACACCATCCCTGAGAGATGTCTATCTAACCTGTTCTTAAATATCTCCAGAGAGGGAGATTCCACCACCTCCCTTGGCAATTTATTCCAATATTTGACCACCCTGACAGTTAGGAATTTTTTCCTAATGTCCAATCTAAACCTCCCCTGCTGCACTTTAAGCCCATTACTCCTTGTCCTGTCCTCAGAAACCAAGAGAAACAAATTTTCTCCTTCCTCCTTGTGACACCCTTTTAGATATTTGAAAACCACTATCATGTCCCCCCTTAATCTTCGTTTTTCCAAACTAAACAAGCCCAGTTCACGAAGCCTGGCTTCATAGGTCATGTTCTCTAAACCTTTAATCATTCTTGTCACTCTTCTCTGTACCCTTTCCAATTTCTCCACATCTTTCTTGAAATGTGGCGCCCAGAACTGGACACAGTACTCCAGCTGAGGCCTAACTAGTGCAGAGTAGAGCGGCAGAATGACTTCACGAGTTTTGCTTACAACACACCTGTTAATACAACCTAGAATCATATTTGCTTTTTTGGCAACAGCATCACACTGTTGACTCATATTCAACTTGTGGTCCACTATGACCCCTAGATCCCTTTCCGCCATGCTCCTTCCTAGACAGTCGCTTCCCATCTTGTATGTATGGAACTGATTGTTCCTTCCTAAGTGGAGCACTCTGCATTTCTCCTTATTAAACCTCATCCTGTTTACCTCTGACCATTTCTCTAACTTGCTAAGGTCATTTGCATGGGTAGGGAGAAACAGTCTGGGTGAAAGCAGCCCAGGGACAATTCTCCCCGGAGGGGGTGGCGGTTGGTTGACAGTGGCAGAGGGGGTACAGGGAGTTGGGATGCTACAGCCAGCCGGAGGCTTTCGGTGAGCCGCTGCTGTGGTTAGCAGCCCATCTGCTGCCCTGCCGGCACCCCCTCCCAAACCATGGCCGTGCCGCAGGAAGGGCAGCTGCAGGTCGGTTCTGCTGCCTTCCAGGACTCCAGCACTGGCCCTTTGGGGGCAGGCGTTCAGTCGGGGAGCAGCGTGCGGCCGCGAGACATTGTATTTACCCTTGCCCGTGCCCCTAGAAGCCCTGGGAGATCTCCTTCATCCCCCCAGGACCCCTGAAGTCCCAGCATGTGCCTAGGCAGAGCCTGCACTAACTGTCTGCCCTTGCCCTGCAGGCAGCTCGCCCTGAAGGCGCTGAACGAGCGGCTGAAGCGCGTGGACTCCTCAGGGAGAAAAGCCAAAGCAGCCGAGACCCCAGCGGTGCGGGGAAAGGGGCCAGCCAGGAGTCGAGCATCATCACCTTCGAGGACGCCCCTGCTCAGCTGTGACCTGGGACCCCAGCACCTCCCCTTTCCCATCTCGGTGTCACAGTGATCCCTTGTGTCTTCTCGCAGCCTGTCTGCTCCCCAGCCTGGCTGTCTGCAGGGAGCAGAGGGCCCCTCCAGCAACCTCGAGGGAGAGGGCTACCTCATTCCAGCATGTCCCAGCCACCCTGGGCTGACGCGGGGGCTCTGGGCCGTAACCGGGAGCCGCCGGGGGCTCTGGTTCTCATTCGCTTTCTCCGGTGGTGGGGAGAGGTTCCGCAGAGACACGAAGCAGGGCTGGCCGCCGACCGCCCAGGGATGGAGCCACGTCTCTCCAGATGGACACGGACTGCCCCTGGGAAGCCATCACCCGCAGGTAGCTGCTGGGTACGCGGCGCTCGCTCTGGGCAGAGGCCCAGGACTCGTGGATTTGCCCTGCGCTTGGTTGCTCGGGTCCCGGATTTGAAGCCTGTAAGCTTACCCCACCCTCCCCCCAGGGCAAACTCGGCAAGTGAGGTGGCACTTCCTGCCTCCCAGTGGTCGTGAAAAGTACCTATGACTTCCCCTTCCCTTTCGACTTCCCCTTCCCTTTCGACTTCCCCTTCCCTTTCGCAGCTCATTTTGTTCCTGATCTGAGGGGCGGGAGGTTTTTCTTACTCCTTTTGCTGGGTTAACCCTTTCCCCTCCGGCCCGTCACCCAGCAGGAAGTGGCTGGGCTCAGTTTGCCATGATCATCAGATAAACACCTCTTTAGCTACAAATAATTGCTTTGTCGTCACCCCCCCTCCGCCCCCGCTCAGCTGCCTCCCCTGGGATATTGACTGGGACCCCTGGGCCCCCGGAGCTTTGAGACTCGTCCCTGGATGTGCGGCACCCCCAGTCTGTCTGTGGGAGCCCCAGCGGGGTGGATTTGATTTGTGTTACTGCTCCTATGGGTTTTCTCCCATTTCTTTTGCGGTGTTTGAATTGTAAGGCAGCCTCTGAACTGGGTGGGAGCCGCATGTTCAGCTGCCGCTTGGCTGGATCGTCTTTGCCTTGAGGCCTCGTCAGACAGTGAATCTTTCATGTCGGGGCTCTTGACAGTTCTCCCAATGTTCCCCCCTCCCTGCACCTGCCCCCGCGGAACATTGGCTTCCTCTCGCCTTTTTCCCTCCTGTGCGGATGGGCGTTTCTGGAGGGGGCTTGGCTGGACACGCTGTCCTTGCGCACCAGCCCCCTGTGGCCAGGCCCCTCGGCTCCTGCCCTGCCTGGCACTGTTACCAGCCTGGGCCGGGTGCAGGGGGGGGAAGGGGGGAGCTACTCTTCAAGGACCACACCAGAAGGTTTTGTCAACTGGCAAATAGACGGGAATTTAAGTATCAATAAACAATTGTTTCAAAGATCGTCTCTTGCTTGCATTCGGAGCTCGCTTTCACTTTCAGCTGCCCGGGTTCCCACGTCCCCAGCAAGCCCAAGGCTTGGCCCGTGGGGGGCGTCTGTGAGCCACTAGCCATCCTTCTGCCGAGACTGGCTCTGCCAGGACCAGAGCTGGCACGAGGGCGCATGGGGTCGGCCGGCTTGGTAGCCACCGGACTAGCGTGATGGAGTGCACTGCAGGAGGGTGCTAGGAGTGGGGAGGGGGCAGCTGGCACAGGCAGGGCTGTGGGCTAGAAACAAGGGGGAGGAGAAGGAAGGAAGGGAAGGAGCAGGCCTGGAAAGCAGGGATTGTGATGAGTCAGCAGAATTGAACATTGAACACTCATTGCTCACTTACGAGCAAGGCCTGGTGTGACCAACCCCAGGCCCCTCCAGCGTGTGCAGCCTGCTGGTACAGCAAATGAGCTGGGGTGTTGGCAGGGGAGAGGGACACTCACCCAGGGAGCTGTGAATCCGGCCTCGCTTTGCTGTTCAATCCCAAGGGGTTTATTCTGCCCGCCTGAGTCCGAATGTCTGATTTCCCTGGGGCCGGATGCTCCCGCTGAAATGAGCAGCAGGCCTTTGCCTGCCTGCCCTGAACAGGGAGCTGTGGTTTGAGGCAGCGGAGGGGTCAGGCTCACAGATGGGAGGCTGGAGCATGACTCTGCTGCAAGGGACACGGGGGGGAGGGGGGGGTTGTGTCCCACCCCAGCCCATGGCAGCGCTGGCTGGGAGGGCAGGTGAGGAAAAAATGGGCCACTTACGTGCTGACCTAGGGGCCTACGGTGCTGACCTAGGGGCCTAACATCATAGAGTTGGAGGCCAGAAGGAACTACTGCGATCAGCCGGTCTGACTGGCTGCCACAAGCCAGGAGCCTGCCCCTCAGTAGCCCCCGTGTGAAACAGACCAGATCGGTAACGTCTCCAGCAAGTGATCTTAACATGGTCCGGGTTGGAGGGTCTGCCCCAGGCCTTGCTCAGCTGGGAACCGCTGGGCTGGTGCTGCCCTGAGCCCTGCTTCAGGTCACCCCCTCCTAGCTTGGGTTCGTTAAAATGCCAGCCTGGAACCCAGAGGGTGAGATGCTGCATTTGATGATCCTACCGGTGTAGAATTAGCCTCTGTGGCTCCTGTTCCCACCCCCATTCCCACCGGTCTCTTGATCGACTAGATGAAACGAGTCTGATTTGCAAAATCTGCTTTTTTAATCTTCAACCACCAGCTGCGTCTTGCCAACCCAGAGCCATTTCCTCCCAGAGCTGGCAGGGGGCCGCTGCCCGGCAGCGTCCAACGGCCTGTGCCCCTGGGGCGGTTCCCCCCTTTACTACGCGGGGACAGCGGTGCTGGTTCGGCCCAGAATGCACACGGCACCCGGCAGCACCCAGCCTCACTGTGGGCAGGTGCCCTAGGTGGCCCGAGTTCTTTCCCATGCCCAGGAAGAGACACTGCCCCAGCACAGCCCCTCTGCACTGGTAGGGCTGTGACATAGTGGGGGTACCTTGCTGGTTGCTATGCTGGGCAGTGGGCTGTGGGTGACCTCCACTGTCTGCAGCACGGCCCAGCAGGGCAGGGGATGAGTCATTATGCAAGGGGGCTTTGAACCTGTCTGACCAGTTATCTCCCAGGGAGCAGAACAAGGGGAAGAAGAGGAGTGGAGCCCTGGCTGGGGGTAGGGCTGGAAGTGAGGGAGTTAGTTTTTCTGGCTGGTATCATGGAGGAAGCAGCCTAGGCAATGGGCTGGGATTTAGGGGCAGGCTCCCCCATATCAAGGGGGGGCTGAGGCATCCTAGGCCTGCCCTGGAACAAGATTACATCTGTGCTGTATCCTGGAGAAGCAATAAACTCCCTCTACTCTACTGGCTGGTGGAGTCTGTCTGTGCCATTGCAGGAGACAGGAAAACCCCAACGTGTTGTTACACTGGTGTCAGCAGTGGGATGCCCTGCACCTGTGGATGGAGCTCCCAGCAGCAAGCGACAAGGCGCAGTAGAAGCAAGAGCCATGGAGCCACGAGTGCTGGAGACAGAGCGAAGCGGTTCCTGGGAAAAGTGGGGCGCAGCAGCCCTAGACCGGTGAGTCCGCACCGAGGGGGCCAGCGGGGGGATGGCCTGCACCTGACTCCTGAAGGCAGAGCAGGTGAAGCTGTGCAGAGAGAGGGGCTTGCCTGTGCGGTAAGCAACTAAGGCCCAGCTGATTGCCAGGCTGGAGGAGAATGACCAGCCACGGGGCCAGGATCTTGTCCCTGTGGGTAGCAGCCAGACCCTACCAGGGAGCGTCTCAGGCTCAGAGACGGGGAGAAGCACTGGAGCCCGCCAGAGAGATGGGACAGCTTCCATTGGGGAGACAGGGAATTAAAACCCCAAGTGGCACGAGGCTGCAGCTGCTTGGAATCTTTATTTCCTTAAACTGCCCCCCGGCTCTAGCACCACGTTCCTGGAGCAGGCTCTGTCCCGCCTCCCTTGCCCCGTGGCGGGCCCATGATGCACCTTGGAAAGGACCCA